GAGTTTATCTTTGTGTTTTCCATTGACCTTGTATCAAATCTTGCTAAGATGACATAATGGTGTTTGTTAATATATATGAGGCCTCTCAACTGCATCAACAGAGTTTAACAGTAGTGTGGAGAGACAGTGACAGAGAGAAGCAGAGGCACAGAGACAGGCCAGGTTGTTCTCTGTGTTTCCTGTTGTTGCAATAAAACTCAGCTGATCATCTCACGGAGTACCTTCATTCTTGGACCACATATTTCTGTCTTTGTTAAATAAATATTGCCATAACAACTTGATCAAGACTTTTCTAAGATTTTACAATACAAAATAGGTAAAAGTGTGTGACTTGTACTGTTATGGTAACGGGTCAATATCGGTATCGGACAATTCTCAAAGTTGTAATATCAGTATCATATCGGAAGTGAAAAAGTGGTATTGGGACATCCCTAGAAGCCAGTGTTTTAGCTGATCTAGTTCAGCTGTATTTACTACGTCCAGCTGCTGCTCGCCTCATGTTTGGGTTTTTCTTCCCACAGGTCGAGCAGAATCCCATCGTTGGATTTGTTGCGGTTTCTGTCGCTGTCCTCTGCTCTGGGTTTGCAGGTAGAACCTTTTGCTTTTGGAGGGGAAACATAGAGGTTTTAACTGTTGAAAATGACTTGCATGGCTTTCTACGGTAATTTGGATAACTAAAAAATAAACAAATAAACTCAGTGGTCGCCGTGGGGAGAGGTAGCCTTCATCGCACGTCTCATCCTATGAGAGCCTTTGTCGTTGAGCGTACAGCCGCTCACCTGAACCTGAGCTGCTGCCGGATTGTTCAGGGCAATTTTTATTTTAAAACTTTACCCACCGGTGGGCTGAGAGGAAGTAAAGTTATCTGTAAGCGCTGCAGCGCTAAGCTGTCTCACCACCGGAGCAGTTCCAGCCTGAAACATCACTTCAGTTTAAAACCAGGGTGAACAAACAGAGGGAGGTTCTGCTGATCAGTGTGTGGCAGAAACACGAAAAAGGTTTAATTTGCCTTATTTGTTTAATGCTTTTGAAAAATGCATTGCCCCGTTTTATATAAAACAGTACCTAAAAGGCTCTAAACATATTTGTGACCATTCATGTTGAAATGAGGATTAAGTCAAATTTGGTCAAAATGACCTAATTACATTTTCAGATTCTTGGCTTTAAAAGCTACATTTTGATACCTGGATCATTCTGATATCATAATTAAATCCATATATATGACTTAATTTGTCTTGTTGGTTACAATAATACATAAATATTTGGTCTGAATCCTAATTTTATGTCCTTTAAATGAGGAATTTATGATGTCCTTATAAAGAGGAAACCTCAAATTTTATTTGAATATTGAGGTTTCCCGGCTGGAAAGAAACAAAACTTTGCTAATTCACAAGGAAAATCTTAAAAATTTAAGGCGTTTTTCCTCAAAATCATTTTTTTGTTGCTACTGCTCAAAAAAGTGCTTCAAAATTAAGTTTTGATTATATTTCAGGCAGTTCATTCAAATGATACATTAATAAGGCATTTATGCATTATATTTTGACAAAATGCAATTTTTGTTAACATTTTAGTCAAAACACTATATTTGCCTATTTCTTCTTATACAACTTTTGGACTTAATCCTCATTTCAATGTGATGGCTCACATTTGAGTCAGTTAAATTTGTGCAGAATAATGAAATTAAATCAAGAATTCAAGGATTTTTTTTGTCATTCCAAATGAGTATTATGAGGAATGAAAGATGAGGCTCCTGTTGTCAGGAAAAAAAATACAATAAGATAAAATGAAAAAAATATAGTGTGTCACACATTGCAACATGCAAACATTCAGTCTTAGCAGATTGTTTAAAAAAATTAGATTAATCACGATTAAAAGTTTGAATCTATGCCCAGCACTAGTTTGATGTCAGATTTGCACCTTAAAAGGTTTTGTTTTGTTTTTTATTTTTTCAGGTGTATATTTTGAGAAAGTGTTGAAGAGCTCAGATACATCTCTGTGGGTGAGGAACATCCAGATGTACCTGTCCGGCATCCTGATCACCCTGGCCGGAGTTTACATGAACGATGGAGAGAAAATCTTGGAGAAAGGTTTTTTCTTCGGCTACACACCGTGGGTGTGCTTCGTAGTCTGTAAGTGTTTCACAACGGGAGAACGTTTTGTTTTCTTAGGGTTTGGGTTTGTGTTACTGTCTCTGTGCTTCCAGTTCTGGCCAGTGTTGGTGGTCTTTACACGTCCGTGGTGGTGAAGTACACGGATAATATCATGAAGGGCTTCTCTGCTGCTCTGGCCATTGTTATCTCAACAATAGCATCTGTGGTGTTGTTTGGACTGCAGATAAGTAAGTTTGTGTTTCTCAGATTATCCAGTACAGCTGGCTCATCAGGTGAATGGATTATAAAAGGTAAAGTTGTCTCAAAAACACTTCTCCTCTCTCTCTTTTACAGCCATCACATTTGCTACCGGAGCTCTGCTGGTCTGCATTTCCATATATCTGTACGGACTTCCAAAGCTCGACACGTCCAAGCTGCAAGACAAAAATGCGAACACAGAGTCCAAACAAAAACTGATCACCGTGTGAGTCTGGATCAGCAGGACCACGTTCTCCTTTGGGGTTGTGTTTTCTGGGCCGGGGGGAGCTGAAGGACTTGATAAATAAGAGATAACTGAGCTAGATTTGGTTTATGATACAAAAGAAAAGAGTTTTGGTTCGTTACAGCGGCTCTGCTCCTCCCTGCATCAACGAGGTTGATGGTGCTGTGGATTACCAGAACAATCAGTTTATATGTCGGTGAGTTATCCAGTTAAGTGACCACTTTTAGTTAACCTATTGTAAAAATTGTACAGAAGTCCAGTTAAAAAAACATCTTTAGTATTTAAAGTGGCATATAAATAAAACATTTCTGGAGGCGTCGCTCCAGCTGCCAATCCGTCCTCAAGTGTGCAAAATGAACATGGATTATACATCAGATTATAGTGAAAAATCACTGCATGTTTAATTACGTTTATTAAAGGGATCCCTGATTAGTTGTAACATTAGACTTTATTTTGCAGTTAAAATACATGTTTATCAAATAAAGACTAAAAATACTGTAGGATGTTTAGTTTTTATAATTTTTAAACAAAGTTTAAAAATATACAGTATTACACAGACAGGGCCATGTTATTTAACTGTGACTGTAAAATAAAGACTGTTAAAATACTGTAGCCTGTTTAGTTTAGTAAATTTTTAAAAAATGTTTTAACACGAACAGCCATTTTATTTACACAAAGCATTCTGGGTAAATGATGACGTGGATAGGTCCTCGGTGCGAGGCTGCTAGCGAGCTATATCCACACTGAAGGTTAATCTTGGACAATATCTGATGATCGACTCTTTTAAATGAAACCAGAGAGCGTTGACAGAGAGGAGAAGGTAGAAATGACTCAGCCTGGAACTGAAAATATGGATGGAGGACAACAGTTTAGCTTGTTTGTTGCGCTAGCACCGAGCTAATACATATAAGTCAAAATATCGTTGGCGCTAACGCCAAAGCTAACAGGCTAATCTGAGGTTGTTCTTCCATGAAGCAGCTCTGTTGTCCTCCATCCATATTTTCAGTTCCAGGCTGAGTCATTTCTACCTTCTCCTCTCTGTCAACGCTCTCTGGTTTCATTTAAAAGAGTCGATCATCAGATATTGTCCAAGATTAACCTTCAGGGTGGATATAGCTCGCTAGCAGCCTCGCACCGAGGACCTATCCATGTCATCATTTACCCAGAATGCTTTGTGTGGAAATAAAATGGCTCCATCCGTGTAATATATTTTTAAAAATTTACAAAACTAAACAGCTTACAGTGTTTTTACAGTTAAAATATATGTTTATCAAATAAAGTCTAATGTTACAACTAATCATGGATCCCTTTAAAGCACTTGTTTTTTGTATCACTCTGTGTTAATGTTTTAAATCAAAAACAGACAAAAAGCAGCTTTTTTTTAAATTAGAACATTTTAAATTATTTTGAAAGTTTATTTACTTAAAACTGCTGCAAGTTTACATTTTATGAACTGGTTTGAGGCCCAGGATCTTCATCCCCCTGGCCAGAACTGCGCGCGCTCCGCTGAACAGTCGTAACCTAGCCTGTTGAGGAGCAGGGAATGAGATCAAGTTATGTTTGTTATTAATCTTTATAATTTAAAGTGTTTGAAATGGAAGCACGGTGCACCTGTGCAACATCCTGCGGGCTTCCTTTCACCGGCAGCTCTCTGTGCGCTGAAGAGATGAGGTGGCTAGAAGACAGCGGGCACAGAAACATGAGCTAATTATCTGAACAAACAGACCTCTAAAGTCAACATCCTGTTCCTTACCACAGCTTCAGTAAAAAGTTGACGAGATGTGTGGGTTGCAGGTCATTGGCCGACTGATACAACAGCTCGTCGTAACTACAGACAAACACACGTGACTTCATAAAGATGAAGCAAATATTGATTTTCCTCTGGCAGACTGATAAAGACCGACACCAGGTAGCTTACCGAAGGAGGTGCTGCAGGATGAGGACGCTCGTGTTTTCCCGTAAAAGATCAGCGTTGAATGTAGACACCTCCACGCCTTCGTTTACCTGCAGTAAGCTGACATTAAAACAACTTGTTTACACGCCGCGCTGTAAGATGCTTATTCCCGTTTGTGATGGTAAAATTCAGAGCTAGTTGCTGCTTAAACAGCGCTAACGTTGTGCCGACTGTACCTGCAGAGTCGAGCGTGCGTGTACTGCAGGAAGACGCCCGTGTCGCCCTGAGCCTGCAGCATCCGGTCCCAGTCAAATTTATAATCCGACTGCAGGGGGCCTTTAAAGTCCTGAAAGAAAAAACGTGCAGATGTTTGTTGGAATTTATCTCTGGTAGTTTAATTTCTCCACATGAGGTGATTTAAGTCCAACACTCTGGCGTAACGCTCCGTCTTTAACTCACCTGAACTATTAACGCACTTATTCCCACTTTCTCAGCTGTGTCCTCTGGGTTTTCCAGTTCCTTTGTGTCTGAGGAAACATTAATGCATCAGTAGTATTTATATAAAGTACCTGAAAGTCATACTTTCAGTAAAAGTACAAGTATCTTATCATAAAATGACTTTGGTAAAAGTTAAAGTCTCCTAAGAATTTTACTTGAGTAAAACTCAAAGTATCTGATTTATTTTGTACTTAAGTATCAAAAGTAAATTTCTGACATAAAATGTACTTAAGTAATAAAAGTACTGAGTAAAAATGAGTTGAGGTGACTTATTTGAAAGAAATATTTTCTAAAGGCGTGCAGCTTTGATTAATTGTATCCAAACTAATACAGTATCAGACTGATATTTATACTTTTTTATCAAACCACAATTAAATTTGCTTGATCCAGGAGGCAGTTTATCAGGATAGTACTTTTTAAACAATGGGCCTCATGCAAGAACATGTTTGTATTCTTATCCTAAATTTCTCTTACTTTTGTTCGTACAAAGGGTTCGTACGAACATGTCACGTCAGATTCAACAAACTCTTCTATCTTCAGGAAAAGTGCGTAAATGAGCTGCGTAATTTACACCCGTTCTATCCAGCTGCTTGTGCACGCGAGAGGAGATTAACATAATTACCACCCCAAAAACACCATATAAGGCTGTGTTTCCTACCTCACATACAAGGAAGTGTCCATTCATTCATGAGAAATGACAGCGATAATTATAAAAAAGAAGAACTTTACGAGTTCAGAGATTGAAGTCCGTCTGTCAGAGATCCAGAAAAGAAAATCTGTCATTTTTAGCAGGTCAGCTGTGGGATAAAAAAGAGCTGCTAAAAGTATAAACAACTGTGTTAAATCATTTTCATTTATTCAGAAGCCGCAGCGCAGCGCTGCGCACCGTGCGTGGCTGTTCGTAAAATCTACGACAGGTCTGGACCACTCGTAAATTTTGTTCGTATCTGAAAAAAATCGTAGAATACGAAAACATTGGTGAATGCCACAAATTCTCCTAAATCACTCGTACACACAATTTAAGAACAAATCTGTGCGTACGAACGGTTCTTGCATGAGGCCCAATAAGCTGAAATGAAATAAAAGTAACGACTTTCTACTTACCTTTTTAAAAAAAATGCAAGGAGTAGAAAGTACAGATAATTGTGTAAAAATGTAATCAGTAAAAGTAAAAATGTTGAAAAATAATTACTCAAGTAAAGTACATATAACCAAAATTTCTAAAGTACAGTAACAAAGTATTTCTACTTAGTTATATTAAAACTCTGGTATTTCAGCTTCCAAACACAAATGTATTATTACAACACTTACAGATTTATTTATATCATGTTGCATAACTTCCTTTATCAAGAGATGGATGATACAAAGATTTAATGTATCTCCTTTACATTAAATAGAATTTGTTTTTAAGATCTGACTTCTAAATTTAGCTCAGAGAGAATTAAAGCCTCAACTGAAATCTGCCTATCATTAATTTGGCAGTCAGGGAGTGACAGACATACGTGTCGTTATCATGGTGACCACGATGAGCCATTGGCATTGGCTTTAAAATGTCTTTTTACAACTCCTGCACAGTTTATGTTAAAACGCACACATGCTTAAACTCTTATTTAACCAGTTAGGCCCGGTGTTGCACCATATTTTGTGACCTTCATATATTGTGACCAGAGGGGGCTCTGTTGCGTTTCTACAACAGAACCTGACTGAACATGGTCACAAAGAAGAATATGTTACACCAAAAGTGTAGCCTTTGACCAGAGGCTGAAGACACGTACGCAAAAAAGAAAAATAAATAAAATAAAGTTATATTGACTAATGTATATGGTCACAGAATATGACAGCTGCTATCATATATTGTGACTTCACTGTAGCAATATATGATAGCAGCTGTGACCATGTATATAAGTCAACGTTTTATTTTTATTTTTTTTCTATTTATTGTTTGCGTATGTGTCTTCAGCCTCTGATCAAAGGCTACATTTTTGGCGTAACATATTCTTCTTTGTGACCATGTTCGGCCATGTTCTGTTGTAGAACCACAACAGCGCCCCATCTGGACACAATTTATGATGGTCACAATATATGGTGTAACACCGGCAACAGCTCCTGGGTGTCGCTTTTTTCCCCGCTGCACACATGAACGACTTAACAACTAAGTATTTTTAGATAAACGTCAGCGCTGCAACAAGTGCAAAGGCTTTACTGCTAGACTGCTTCATGTTGTGGAGCATCCTGGTCCGAGCTTCGTCCAGCACGTCCTCCAGGAACACCACGTCGCCGCTCCGGGTCTTCATGCCCTGCACCAGGCCGAAGGGAACGTGGCGACAGCTGCAAACAAGTACAAATATCACATTTGTGTTGAATGTAATTTCTTTTTTTAATAAAAACATACTTTAACTGGGGATTCCACGTTGAACCTGTTTAATCACATCTTTAGATCTGCAGGAGTTGAACTAGTTTGTCTTGTTATTAGAAAACAACCTTCCTGTTACCTTTGAGCCCAAGAACGCCCCGTGGCGCGGAGGATCTGGAACAACTGGTTGAAGTGATTTTCTTGGCTTTTGTCTGTCTGAAAAAGACAAAGAGTTCAACAACAAATCCTCTGAAGACAATTGGTGCACAAGAGAACGTTTAATCAGCTGCTGAACTGTTTCGCACACGCAGAAATATTTAATATTTTAGTTGCTTTTTCGTTACCATTAAATACAACACTCCTACGGAAGATTATAAACGTTGTGAAGACGTGTTGAAGTGGGAATGTCAGAAACGGTAGGAGGTTCTTAAAGACACAGAGGGAAATTTCAAAACTTTTAAATAGGCTATGGTGCAAAATCACATTTATTTTAGATGTACACCCAAAGCTTTGGATTTCCCTCTGTCCATTCGCTGCTCAGATTCCCCAGACTCTTAATAAACATCTTAAGATGTTTTTATTCAGACAGGATTTTAGTTCAGCTTTATTTAATTACTCATTATACTTATGCATTGTTTTTATTGTTTTTAGTTCTCTGTGAAGCACTTACTTATATACAGCATTTTCATAACAACTGAAGCTAACAAACTTGATTGTTTTATAGAATTAAGCTATGTGCCTGGAAAACACATACCACCACCCCTTAAGAGCCTAAATTAGCAAAACAGTAGCTAAAAGCTAAAACTAATACTGGTAAATATGCTGTGTTTAGAGCTCTCACCACATAAATCATTTCATCAAAACCGTATTTTTCCATCCGGTTAATCGCTGCAGCAATGTCTCTGTAACAAAAAGGGGAAAATACGTCCCACATTTAGGAAACTAAAACTTTTAGTTGAACTAAATATATTTAGATAATGTGGACAAAACTAAATGTAAATGTGAAATCTGCTCTGCAGCGACCTGGTGATGTAGAGCGTTGTGCCGTCGCTGCGGAGAATCGTACACACGTTGGTCATGTCTCCTCCCGGGGAGAGATCGATGATGCCCGTACCCTTCCTGTAAACATAAACAACAACAAGAGGCAAATGTATGTTAATAAATAAATATTAATATTATTATAAATATTGGTGGTAAAAAAGCAACTAACTGCCAGCTTCTTGTCCCGTTTGGCTCGAGAAAACTCAGAATCACGACTGTCAAATACTAAGTTTGATGCTTCAAATCAGCAGGTCAGAAATAAATGTTCTAATAGTTTTAGTGTAAATCTTTTCTTTTAACAGTTTCAGTTCATTTAATGTTGAACTTCAGTGTTGAACCCGCTTTAAAAGCTAAATCTGTAACATACTCAGAGGTTTTCAGCAGGCCTCGGTCCCGCAGCTCCTGCAGAACCTCCGGGACTTGGTCTTGGTGGAACGACTCCCCGCTGTAAACATCAAAACGCACCCCCAGCCTCTGGAAGGATTTGAACAGATTGGGAAGACGGCCCGGAGCTGGACGTGTGTCAGAAGCTCTCAGAGCAAGAAGGCACCTCGTAAACCTGCTGGTACTCCTTCACCGTGATCTCTCGGAACTGTTGCCATAACGACAGAGCCTGGCTCTCGTGTCGCTCCAGCTGGCTGAAGAAATCCCTCGCAGCCTGTTTTATGTCCTCGTTGTGCTCAGCCTCTTTGTTCACTTTAACATAAACCTGCAACTCAAAACCATCCAAATCAGTGGAATGCAACAGATAAAGATAGAAAAATCAGTGGTGGTCAGCATAGTTGCACTAACCCTAAAGCACTAACTCAAATATTTAAATCCCCTAATTCTAAAGCACTAATGCGCTGAAAATTTTAGTAAAAGCTAATTCTAAAGCACTAACACACTGAAAATTTTAGCTAAAGCTAATTCTAAAGCACTAATGCGCTGAAAAAATTAGCAATAGCTAATTCTAAAGCACTAATGCGCTTAAAAAATTAGCAACAGCTAATTGTAAAGCACTATTGCACTGAAAATTTTAGCAAACATTCATTCTAAAGCACTAATGCACAGAAAAATTTAGCAAAAGCTAATTCTAAAGCACTAATATAATCCAGTTTACACATGAAACATTCTTCAGTCAACATGAGACAATATTTACTGTGTGCAGAATGTTGTCACTTAGTGCCCAGGCTGGGCCAAATGGGAGTCACCTGCAGGCCACATTCGGCCCGTGGGCCTTGAGTTTGACATGTGACCTTGTAGATAAGTGACACACATGTGAACAAAATGTGTGACAGCTTTCCCCCTCAACTGTGAACGATAATGTTGATCAATAACATTTAAAGACCTCAGTTAGTGCTTTTAGATTTAGCAAGTGTTAATCCACTAATGAATTTAAAAAATAGCAAAAGCCCTAAAGCACTAATCAAGAAATTAGTTCCCTTATTAGTGCTTTAGGGGAAGTTTGCCCACCACTAAAAAGTTCATTTTTATCCGACACATGAGAGCAGACTTGCATTTGCTCAGGCAAGAGAAGCTAAAACTGTTAAAGCTAAAAGAAGCAGAATACTCGTTACACTAAAAGCTTAGTTTAAGTATCAAGTAGCCAAACAACAGTTAGAAGATAGAAGTCAAGCATAAAAAGCCAGTGTGAATGCTGAATCAGCACTCGCACCATAAAAACAGCTCACCTCAAACAAGTGCTGCAGAGGATTCTCCTTCAGCTTTTCCATGCATCCAAACCGATCAAAGCCAGCTCCTAATAAACCTGAAAATCCACGCGTTGCTTTTAAATTTTAACTGAGTCCAAACGGGTCCAACTTTCCCAGATTCTACACAACGAGCTCACCAAACTGCATTCCCCAGTCTCCCAGGTAGTTCATTCGAATTACATTATTCCCGAGGGACTGTTTTAGATTAGCGATGAAGTTACCTGGAGATGGAAAACAACGTTTTTACGTCAGGATTTTGCCCGTTGGACTTTGGATTTTGTGCGAAAACTTACCGATGATTGTGGAGCGCAAGTGTCCAGCGTGGAATTTTTTGGCGATATTTGGAGAGCTGCAAAGCACAAACACAGAAATGTGTTTTAACAAGAAGGACACGCACGCACACACACACACACACACACAAAAAAGAAACTATGCGACCCCACCTGTACTCCACTAATGTTGTTCCTCTCTTCAGGGAACTGAGAAGTTCACTGTTAAACCCAAACTGCTCGTCTGCTCCGCTCCCAAAGGGCTCCAGCAGTTTCTGGAACCGATGAAAGCAGAAAATCAATGAGCAGAAAAGCAGTCGATGCTTTTCTTGTTATTATGGGATGCGTGCGTGCACACAAACCTCAGCAAGCAGCCTGCGATTCACTGTGAAGTTAATCACTCCTCGTCTAGTGGAAATATCCTCCAGCACGCTGTCCGGCTTCAACTGAAAACAACAGTTTGTTACGTAGATAATTTGTCAACTTGTATTTGTTTTAGGGGGGTTTTCACTGTCAAAACAAAGGTATTTATAAATTTTAATAATCAAGAGTGTTTATGTTTATGGTCAGACATGTTTTGACCCGTTTACTGAAGAGACAATGCTGCTCGATATCAGTTTTACATCTGTTTAAAAACTTCACTTTTCAGTCACTTTTAGTCTCTTTGTGATAGTTTGTCTAATTATCCAATTAGTTACACCTAGATTATTATGATTTTTTTAAACTCATGCTTATTGTTGTGATAAATGTGACCTGAGAAGCCAGGTGTTCTGTCTGCAGCTCAATGTCCCCACTGGATGGTAAAATCCCGTTGGTTCTTAATGGGCCCAGTAACAGCCTGAAGTCAGCATTTTGTTGCCTGAGGAGAAATACATCACAAAACTTCAACACATCTGAGCACATAAAACATATCAGCAGGGTTTAAAAGAAACGTTTAAATAAATTACTGTTTCTTGAGAACTGGAACTGCAGTCAGAGCTGGTAAAAACACTTCTTCAGACTGCTGCAGCGTCGTTGCCAGCTGAAAATGAACACAAAGCAAGCTTTAATTGTGCCTTTTGTTTAAACCGTGTTAGCAAATCTCATTAGCGTCGCTCGGTCTTGTTACCTTTGCTGCAATTTGTCGTCTAAAGAAGCAGGCCATGTTTTATAAACGTGACAGCAGCAAATAACAAAAAGATTCGTTACATTTCCACGACCTGTGTTCACATTGGAATAGCAGAACTTACTTCCTGTTTGACGTCACGGCGTTCTGTCCGCTTGTCCAATCACAGGCGACGCTTTCAAGTTGAGTCACGTATCAGTAAAGGTTTGTTTGATTTGAACGCTGGCTCCTCCAGAAAATCCAACGGAGATGTTTCTGATGGAAATTCACAAACGAAAACCTTTTTTTCCCCCACCAGTTTTCACTTTAAATATCGTCAAATTTTAAAATATGAAATTGTGGCACATAAAACCAGAATATGATGTAATTTTAAGGAAACATAATCTGAAAAAAACATTTTACAGAACATTTAAAACTTTTATTCCCCTCTCATTTTAAAAGATCAGCTTTTCACTACAGGACATAAAACTGATTTACAATATATTTACAAATTATTTACTGAGCAAGTTATTTTTTTCTATGCAGCAATTTTACATTTGTTTTTTTGCTTTGCACTTCAGAACCTATAGCAAAGTACGGGGATAAATTTTATGTAATGAAAGTTAAAGTGTTTTATTAATACAACTTAATGATTTTAAAAAAAGAACATCAGATAATTATTTGTGCCAAGACTTTATTTATTTGTATTATTCGACCAAAAGCCCCTTGAAACCTACAGCAAACATAACATTTAGGTACAGTAAACAAAAGTCAAGACAAAATAAAAAGAAATACAGTGTATACGAATGTACAAATCTAAAAGCAGTAAGTACTGGTACAGTTTTACAATGTTAAAAAAAAAGCAAAGACAACTGTGGAGTCCAGGCTGAAAGCTGCCTTCAAATCAATCCACTCAGTAAAGTCCGATCCCTTTTTTCAAAGAGTGCATACAGAAAAGCTGCACAGCTAACATCTTTGTTGGGAAAAAAACACAAAATAAAGTAAAATCCAAAAGGCCAAAACGTGTGACGGCAGTTAGCCTTTTACGAAGGCATCAGAAAGAAGCCAAATAAATATGAAGACAGCAGTTAAGAGGCCACTGGTAAAGTGTCAGCAGGAAACCCTCCTAACCCTGGGAGCAACACTGAGGCCTGAGGCAGCCAGTCCACAGAGGCAATATGGCACAGCTTGGAATAAAAAGTCCGATCAGATCCGCCGAGTCCCTGGAGTATCTGCAGCAAAGAGTCCCCCCCAAGAAAATCAAACAGCAGAACTCAGGAAACATCTGTGAAGGAAACACAATAAAGTTATTAACTTTACTACAGCAAAAAAACAAATACTTTTACAAAACTTTCAAATCAACACTTACAGCTAGCAGGCTGCTCTCCAAACCTCCGCATGAGCTGATCATGTGTGAACTTCACAAACGCGTCATATTGTTCTGCAAAACAAATGAAACCAAAACCCAAAATCAGCGCCGTCGGGATTAGTTCGACGTATTTAACGCAAAAATAAAAACATCTCACCGGCGAGCTTCGTCGTCAGCGTCTCGTCGTACTCCTCGCGGATTTTCTCCTCCCGCTCCTTCAGCAGTCTCTCGCAGATCATCCCGACCTGTCGGAGGGAGAATAACGGCTGTTCCTTCCTGGTGGGAGATGAGGCTCCTGAGGACGCGCCTGTTCGAAGAATCAACACCGCACCAATGTTACAAAGTTAGGAAACTCTGTAAACACTTAAAGACAAAGGCACAAACACCTGGGGGGGCGGGGCTCATAAATCCACAGTTTTTTTCGTCCTCCTCTTGGGCCAAAAGCATAAAAACCCTCCATTTTTTCCTGACTGAGGCTCAAAGTTATTTGTTGAGCAGCAAAAAGGTTCAGCAGCAGGTCTGCCTCAGCAGGGGGCGCTGCTTCAGAACCACTACTGAGTCAAAGTCAGACAGAATCAACAAGAATGACACTAAAAGTAAAGACTTAGAGACAAAAATAAATGCTAAATATAAATAAATTCTATTTATAATAAATTAATAATAGTTTTACAT